ATATTATTTATTTAATATATTTAATATATTATTTATTTAATATATTTAATATATTATTTATTTAATATATTTAATATATTATTTATTTAATATATTTAATAATATTATTTATTTAATATATTATTACATGTTTTCAAAAATTAAACCACCAAACGCAGTTTCAGTTTTTTTTAAAACTGAAATCAATCTCTAAATAAAACTACCAAACGCATTTTTAGAAATAATTCAAAAATGAAACTAAAAACGTTTTCATTTTCATTTTCATTTTCGTACAGAAAATAAAAACGTTTTGGAACCAATTCCAAACGCACCCATATATCCTGTTTTCCTAAACCATCCTTACCAACAACGGTGACTTCATCTCCAAGTTAGGTCGGGTGAAATGAGAACCGGGCATTAACGATATTCAAATAATTTCTAGCTTAATGCAATATATATAACCATATATATGTATGTATGTATGTATGTATGTATGTAATCGTATCTAGTCGCAATATTAGGCTATAGTGTCTCACAGGTTCAAACATAGATTGTGTTGACCGGCAATGAGACAGCAGTGGATATATATAGCAAACGTACATCCATATGAATACATGCATGCATACGTGTGTATATACGTATATACAATTAATACTTGTATGACAATTTAAGCTAGTTGAATAATTACCAGAAGTCGTAGCTCGAGCAGGGTTCCCACGAGAATCGTTGAGCTGCAAATCCAGTTTAATGCAAGTGGTTGAGTCGCTAAAGATGTGGTCTTGAACTGCCATCTCCATGGCTATTTTCTGTTCCTTGGCCACCCGACTGCTATAGTCAATAACACCACCTATTCTTGCTATTAAACATTCTTTATCATTGGTTTTTGCTTTTGATCCCGCCAATATCGTCAATACAAGCAAAACCATAATCAACCAACAGAATCCAGGATTCATTTTTTTTTTTTTTTTTTTTTCAGAGAGAGAGAGAATTAAGTGAAATGACTTGACTTTGAGAAAGGAAGAGTTGTGAGAACAAATTGTATAGGTTGAGACAAACTAGTTGTAACTACTGTAGCTATTTGATTTGAACAGGAACGTTACCTATTACTTGTTCAAAGTAAACTCATGGACTAAAGATTCAGATTCTTCTTTTTACATTTGATTTTCTTAATTCTTGATTCTATTATTTATTATTTCTTATTTTATAGTCTTCACAAGTGAAGATGTCAACTGGTTTTTCTGAGAAGGTGATCTAGTTGAAGAGAGAGAGAGAGAATTAAGTGAAATGACTTGACTTTGAGAAAGGGAGAGTTGCTAGAACAAATTTTATAAGTTGATGAGACAAATCTGTTGTAACTACTTAGTTATTTGATTTGAACAGGAACGTTAGCTATTACCTGTTCAAAGTAAAATCATGGACTAAAGATTCATATTCTTATTTTTACATTTGATTTTCTTAATTCTTAATTCTATTATTTATTATTGCTTATTTTATTGTCTCCACAAGTCAAGATGTCCACTGGTTTTTCTGAGAAGGTGATCTAGTTGGAGAGAGAGAGAGAGAATTAAGTGAAATGACTTGACTTTAAGAAAGGGAGACTTGTGAGAACAAATTTTATAGGTTGAGGCAAACATGTTGTAACTATTGTAGCTATTTGATTTGAACAGGAACGTTAGCTATTACTTGTTCAGAGTAAAATCATGGACTAAAGATTCAGATTCTTCTTTTTACATTTAATTTTCTTAATTCTTAATTCTATTATTTATTATTGCTGATTTTATTGTCCCAAGTCAAGATGTCCAGTACTGATTTTTCTGAGAAGGTGATCTAGTTGCAATCGCCATGATATTCGCTCAAGGCTATGCTTACTGAATATTCGCTCAAGCCTATGCAATCACTGGTTTTTCTTTTTACATTTGGTTTTTCTCAAGGCTATCTGTCTCACCATCAGAAGAAGAAAAAAGGGGCAAGCACATTAATGTCTCCAGGGCACATTGACGAACATGCAGTGGAATTAACACAATTTGCCAATGAAGTCATAATTTTTCATTGTTATTATTATTATTATTATTATTAGGCAATTTCTCTAATGTTTCCGGTATGTCTTCTTGTTTTTTTTAACTGTCGGATTGAAATCCTGCGGCACTGATATGAGTATAATAGGTCTCGTTCACTTTACAGATTCGAGTTTTCAATTCGAGTTGAAATGTGATATTTTATGAGAATTTTTTTACGGTGACAAAAAAAGTTAGATGTGATATTTTTTAAGAATTTTTTACTATAAAATCTTAAAATTCAAAACTCAAATCAGTGAAATAGACGAGACGTACGCGTACTATAATGCTTCCACGTAACTGTCAATTTCTAACATTACACTTTTGTGGGCCCCGCTAAATAATATGCATTCACTGCCAACGCAACTTTTGCAATTCTCTCTCCATCTCTCTTCTCGCTCTCTCTCTTTCTTGCTTCTTTCTCATCTATTTTCTTCTCCACACGTGATGGTGTTAAGCAAAGTTGTGGACGTCGTTTAGGGAAAAAAAAATAGTGACGTTTTCTGGAACTTCAATTTCAAAATTTGGGGTCCCATAATAAGCTTCTGCTTATGCCCCAAGTCTTCCTTTTTTTATCCTTCATCTAATTTTTTTTTTTTTTTTGCTCTGGTTTTATCTTTCATCTATGATTCACGATGTTGAAAGACATAAGAAATTTGTCGCTAATGGATCGTTGGCTCTGTTTCACATGTGAAAAAGAGACAAAAAAAGAAAAAGAAGAATCAGAACACTGCTATTTAATGGGTAATTTTTAGTAAACATAAGTTTTGAAGGAGGAAAAATTTTCAGATCTAAAACGAAAATTGTTTATTTTTTTATTTTTTTAAATAAGCGGTTCCCACTCCCTTATTAATTAGTGGGATACGGGTGTGCGTTTAGAATTAATTTTAAATTAATTTTATTTTTAATAAAAAAATAAAAATAAAATTATTTTAAGAATTATTTTGAGATTAATTTTAAAATTACGTTTGGTTAAATTTTTAAGATATTATTTTAAGTATAATAAAAAAATAAAATCGTATTTATTAATTAATATATTATAATTTTATTAATAAGTATTAAAAATTAAAAATAATTTTTAACTATTTTTTAATTTCTTATAAAAGCTATTCTCATTTTTTTTATTTTTAATTTTGTTTTTAAAACATTTATTAAATAAATTTCGTTTCGTTTTCATTTTTATAAAAATTGTTCTAAAAAACGTTCCATATTTTTGACAGTCTGACTCAATATTTTTGGCTTTAAAGAATCATTATGCGATGGAGTACACCTTCAAAATTTATAGTACCAACTGCCGGTCAAATGGTTCAAACACGGTTTTTTATAAGAAAGAGGCCTTTATAAAAATAACTGAAAGTTTTATTAATAAAATAACTTTTTAAAAATTTTTATTTGCAAAATAACTTTCTCTTTTTTTCCTCTTATGAATGAGGTTTACATTTTTTATTTATTTGAACTAAATTCTCTTCTTCCTTCTTCTTCTTCGTCTTTGAAGCTCTTCTGCGTCTCTGGCATTGGGAGCTTCATTAATGGTGGTGGTTGGGTTTTGAGTCGTTTGAGTTTTACAGTTGGTGAGTTTGGGAAAAATGAGCGATTGGAGATGTTGGATGGACTCTTGGGCTGAGGCTTTGCCTCTAAATGATTTTGCAGGAGTGGAGGCGCCATTGATTCTGACGGTGAACTTTCATTTTCTCTGAAAATAAATAAAATTAAAATTAAAAAGTTATTTTCTTAATTTTACTTTTTCACTTTGTTATTTTAACTAAATTCTCTAAAATTTTGGCTGGTTTATTGTATATATATTTAAATATATACTATTGTACACGTTGGAATGGCATTGGGCGGGTAGTAGAAAAATTTTCCTGAAAATCTCAAAATTCCCGCTCCTTCCTTTTTCCGGAAATCTCAAAATTCCCGCTCCTCCCTCTTTTTTTTGGTCTGATTTGGCTTTCCCCTCTTCCCATCTTCCACCACTCTGCCGAATCCCATACGAACTGAACATAAGAAAAAAAAACCTTATTCACCTCTTCCTCCAATATGTCGAATCCCATTTGAACAAGGAAAAAAAAACATTGACACATCATGTAATTAAAAAATAAACATTCACGTTACGCGTGTTTAGAGAGAGAATGAGAGAACGAACAGTAGAGAGAAAAAGAGGGTCGAGGCCGGCGGGCCGACGCGTTGCTGGTTCGCTTACCGCCGTTCGTTGTCCGAGGGCCGTCGACGGCCGATCTTCACAAATCTGGGGTTCATGCCGCCAAGGGAGGGGGTTTTGGCGAGGACCGGAGATCGCGAGAGTTGCTGCAATGGAGGACCTCGTCGTTGTCGACTTGTGTCCGGATCTCAAGGGGGAAGAGCTGCCGTCATGCGAGGCGGATGTGGGATGCTCAGAACTCCCCCGGGAACGAAATGGGCTGGCGAGGGGCGGGATTGTTTCCGTGGGCGTCAGAATCTTTGCAAAGATTTTGGTGAGTGTTTCTACTATTGCATGATTTTCTTTTGCTTTTGATTTGCAATTTGTTTGTACATCGTGTCTTTGCACAAAATTTGGCGAGTTTCTTCATTATGGTTGTGTATTTCAAACTTTTCTCAGAAATTTCTTCCGTTATTGGGCATCAACATTGTTTAGGCATTGCTCCTTTCGTCATTTTGGTGTGGTAGTCGTTCTTCCCTTGGGCATTCATAACTGGGTGAGTTATAATATGAAATTCCTACAAATTTTCCTTAATTTCTTTCAGCATTTGATCTAACATTTCTTCTTGTTATCTCTGCATGTTCTACTTCCACTGATGTTTTTCGTGAGATTAAAAAAATTAGTGTTTAGTTCTACTTTTTTATTTTTTTATCTTTATGCATGTTTTGCTTATACTAAATTGATGTGATTATTGATGCTTGGGTAGTTGTTCATTTTCATTTAATCTTGATTTCTTCTAAGCGATTTATTTGACTTCCCCTGTAATTTTTCCTTTATCTAACAAGGAGATTGAAGTTTTCAAAATTAGTCTTTATTCAGTTTGTTAACGTTGTTAAACTACCATTTCAAGTAGTTGGGTTTCCTATTGTGTTGTTAGAGTCGTACAATATGATTGATAAGGAATGTTTGATTTTTTATTTTTTGTTTTTGTTTCTGTAAGGTTCGTATTCAAATAGAAACTCTTATTTTGTCGTAAGAGTTATATAGTATGGCTCGTAAGGAATATTTGCTATTTTTTCTATTTCTTTTAGCTTCTGTAAGGTTCATAATCTAATAGAAACTCATATTTTATTGTTAGAGCTATGTAATAAGACTGATAAGGAATTGAGTGTCTATTTGGACAAAGGCACATAAGAAGAGAAATGGTGAACCTATCAATTCAACTGCTAGTGAAGTCATTGTAAGAGTATATTTTTTATCATAATAATTATTTATTCTCGTAAGCTACTATATAAATTTTTTTTGAAATATTTGATGCATATTTTAATCAAGATTAGTTGTTTAATATTTAGGAAAATCTTGAAAAAAGTTAACAAGATCCAACATTGTCTGCCGATGAAATTGATATGCTAAATAGTATTGTAGCTTTTTACTTTGGTCTTGATCGAAATAGACATATGAGAGTAATGGGTCTCAGGATGACCAGGATAAAATATTCTATTTTATCAAAATGGGATGACCACTTGTCTCTTTTACAAGAGAAATGTTCACGAATGGAGGAGGATGTTAGAGAGCTGAAAGAGATACTTTATCTATTATTGCAAAATCAAGTTAGTTTTTTTTTATATGTTTTGGTTTAAATACATTATTGTAACTTTTCTAATCTTATTAGACAAGTTTTTGGTTGTATTAAAAGTAGGCAATGAAGAATTATGACTTTCTTCCTTTCTACTAAGGCCTCGTTTATTTTGTTGATTTGGGT